GAGGTGGTATTTTTCGTAATTCCACAAGAAACTGCCTCAGTTTTTTTGCCTAACCTGTTATTGAGGCAAGTTATGAACCTCCTCCTCCTTCTAGCTCCCCTACCTTAACAGATTTGATGAATGAGTTGACCTTGCAGAGGAAGAGCATAGATTTAATAAACGAAACGATTGGAGGTTTAAAACGCCGACATGATTATGAAAGTGAGTACCTGCAGAGGCATTCAAATTTTAAGATTGCTTATTATGAAGCTCAGGCCCGACACTATAGAGGTGAGCCTGATGTTACGTTTCCTAAATGCCCCCAATATACTCAGTATCATCCCAATCCACCTGCTGATCAAGACAATGAAGATATAGCTTAGGATTTTGATATTGAATGAAATTGATGTACTTATATTTGTATTTTTTATTTTTGTGATCTTTTGTAATAGAAATGGATGTTTGTGTATTTAGACTTTCATTTCTATTATTTCGTGTACTTGGATAATTTTAATTTTTGTTATAAAGTTAGTGTTATAGTTAAATATGCATGTGTAATTTAATAGATGTTGAATAGTATTGTGGATTGTATGTGTTAGGAAATGTTGTGCTTGTTTAATGTTTTGGTTTTATACTTATTTCAAAATTTCATTACCTAGAAATTCCTCTAATGATTTATATGTGTAGAAAGCTCCTAATATTACAGACCAGGTGAAGTAAAAATTTGAGAAGGCCTGCAGAAATTTCAGAATGATAAAAATGCCTACAAATACTGAGGTATGATTTACATTTATAGTTTTTCTTTCCACCTGCATTATTTCATATTTAAAAATTTAAGTTTGGGGGAGGGAAGAAAAAGATTAACTATTAGATGTCCTCTATTTTAATATTTTCAAAAATTATTTATATGATTTCATGTAGTGAATTTAATTTATGTAACTATATTTTTGTTACTATTTGAATATGATAGAAGATTTAAAGAAATATTTTTGTAATGAAACTTAATTTTTGTTACTGAAGATATTTAGTATAGGAGAATAAGATTATAATTAACTATTTAAAGTAAAGGAAACTGTATTTTGAAGTATTAATAATCTGGAAACTCATTTGAGAAGAAAATATTGGGGCTCAATGATGTAAAAACTATGAAATATTTATAAGGTAAAGAAATGCTTTTAGTTAGGAAAAGAAAAGTGAAGTTCAAAATCACTAAAGGCTATCTAGATATAGTAATCCTCACTTGAAAAAGGAAAAAGAAAGGATTGAAAACAGTCCCTGAAATGAAAGAAAAATATATAGGAATGAAAACAATCTAAATGAAAAAGACAAAAGAAAGAAAAAATTATGGAAGTGAGGAGAAGCTTGAGGATATGCCTAATCAGAAATTGGCTTCAGTGGACCTACCTAAAGCGAAAACTTAAATACATTCTTGAACTTATATTTATGGAATAGTATTTTACTAGTAGAGTTCTCATGAAATTATTATCTTTTGAATATTCTAAGTGACTTAATATTACAACATATAGTCATTCTTGAAATAAATAGAAGACTAGAACACTTAAACTTGATGACTAGATAATCTGATAGCTACATAATTAGATTCAATTACTTGAATTGTTTCTGAAAATCTCACTATGATATTTATTTAAGTCAAACTTATAGTGTTTTCTGAATTAAAATTTTACTGCATTAGATCATAACTTTTATATAGTACTAAAATTACTTGAGGACAAGTAATAGTTAACTTTGGGGGATTTTGACCAAAGGAAAATATGTTGAGATTTTCATACCTATTTTATACTATTTTTGATGATATTACACTTTAAATAAAGGTATTTTTGATCTTTTGTTATAGGAATAAGGAATTAGGTTCATTGGAGCAAAAAGATGCAAAAAGAAGCGAATTTGGAGCAAAATGGACCAAAATGTGAAAATTTGAATTAGGCCGCCGACGACACCCTCGACGCCGCCGACGGCGAGATGT